TCCAGGTCGAGGGGAAACAGTTTGTGGAAGTACAGGACAGTGGGACATACGAGCCGTCCTGCAGGGAAACAGTCTACTGGAACTGGGCTCCTCAAAAACGGGGAAAGTGTTCTGCACTCTCTGCTGGTTAAGGCGTGTCCTCGGGCCAGAGAAAGACGCGCCAGTCGGGTGATGAAGAAGAAACTATGATCGCTCTGTCACATTATCAAACACTTTCTGAAACGTTTCATGAATGAGGTCCTTTTTTTGAAATGGGACATTTGGCCTCATTCATGAAACTTTCTTAAAAACACATTTGTACTTAATTCCTTCATATGAACAGTTTTGTTATTCACTAAACTTTTTCTTAACTGAAAATGTTTTTCTGGAAGAACAAATCCTACGAACAGTCAGGAGCACCCGTAAGAACAAATATTCTACTATTATAGAATATTATTACTCTGATAATGCAACAAAAAAATCTAATTCCTCCATGATTGTAAGTTATATATTTTCTTAAATAATTTCCTATAAACATAAAATAATCTGTGATCCTATAACCTTTGAGGTGTTTTCAGTGGTGTTGTGTAGTTGTGCACGGCCCTGGTGCAAGTCTGGCACTGAGCCCTGACTGAGTCTGTACTGGGGAGATGGACCAATCCAGCCCACGATGAGCCCTCAAAGTGCCGTGAGCCCCGCTGCATCGCACCGACTGCACCTCTGAAGGCTGTTGGGCGTTTTATCGAGCTGTGGTCTACTGGGTCTAACAGACTTAAGGCTGCAGTGAGCCTCAGTCTGTCCCAGCCCCAGTGCCTCCACATGGGCCTCTGTCACAGCCCTGAGCCTGGTCCCTGATCCTGGTCCCTGATCCTGGTCCTTGAACCTGGACCTTGAGTCTGGTCCCCGCGCTGGACTCAACACCAACATCACCCCCACCACCCCCCATGACCAGAGCTCACTCTCACACACCCCCAGACCCTCTCCCTCACTATTTACTGCAGGTCCTAGAATGTGATTAAGTTTATGACTTAAATCTTCCTCCCTGAGTTTGTTAATGTGAGTTTAGACATTTGAAATGTGCTGAAGCTGTAAAACCGCCGCAGTCTGTAGACGTGCTCCTCGTTCACTTCCTCGGTCACTCTCCCTCTTGTGCTTTCACACTTCACAACACCAAACTCATGTTGGACATATTTGGAACTTCAGAGGGCGTTTCTAACCAAATACTTATTAATTTTCTGTGTAAATGAAATGTAAATGATCGTGGTGTTCGTAGCTCGGTGTTGGTAAATTCAGGACAACTGTCACTTAAGAAGGAATGTGGGATCTTAAGAACACTTTGTGAATCTGGCTCAGTCTCTCAGCATCTTCTAAACGTGGAAGTTACAAAAAATTTTTTAAGAAAATTCATTAATGAGGCCCAGTGTGGTCTTTAGTTTCTTTGGCAGCAAACAAAAACACAAGTGTGTTTCATTCAAATGTGTTCATTTTATTGGTCAAATGTAACTAGAACAACATTGAGCACATTTCTATAGTGACACTCTTTTTTATATGAAACTTTTAAGTAGCTCCATGAACAAAACGCCTCGGTCTAAGTCCGGGACTCACGCCTGACCCGGTCTAAGTCCGGGACTCACGCCTGACCCGGTCTAAGTCCGGGACTCACGCCTGACCCGGTCTAAGTCCGGGACTCACGCCTGACCCGGTCTAAGTCCGGGACTCACGCCTGACCCGGTCTAAGTCCGGGACTCACGCCTGACCCGGTCTAAGTCCGGGTCTCAGGTGGTGCTGATCAGGTCTATCTCTAGGTCCTCTGAGGTCCTCTCTCTGGCGCCCCTTCTGGCCTGGACCTGAAACAACAGGACACAGCAGATCCACACGTCACAAAACCAGGATCACAGACTGAAGAAGTGTTCTGAGGGAGCGTGACGACACCTACAGTGTTCAGCTCCAAATGAAGCTCATGGAGGCCAGCAGTTACAGCGGCTCATCTGGAGCCTGATTGGTCTGTTAATGTTCAGATCTGGATTTGGGACAAAATGTTGAAGTCCAAACCCCAGGATCATGTGGAGCAGGTCCAGACCAACATGTGAAAGTCAGAGTGAGGAGCCTGACAGCAGCAGGTCCAGAGAGACACTTTTCCACACAAACTCAACTGGAGCCAGAGTCCATGGAGCCCACAACTAAACCAGGTCTAAACCAGGTCTAAACCAGGACTAAACCAGGTCTAAAACAGGACTAAACCAGGACTAAACCAGGTCTAAACCAGGTCTAAACCAGGTCTAAACCAGGTCTAAACCAGGACTAAACCAGGACTAAACCAGGTAAACTAAACTAAACCAGGTCTAAACCAGGACTAAACCAGGAAAACTAAACCAGGACTAAACCAGGTCTAAACCAGGACTAAACCAGGACTAAACCAGGACTCTAAACCAGGACTAAACCAGGTAAACTAAACCAGGTCTAAACCAGGACTAAACCAGGACTAAACTAAACCAGGTCTAAACCAGGACTAAACCAGGTAAACTAAACCAGGACTAAACCAGGTAAACCAGGTCTAAACCAGGACTAAACAGGACTAAACCAGGACTAAACCAGGTCTAAACCAGGACTAAACCAGGAAAACCAGGTCTAAACCAGGACTAAACCAGGACTAAACCAGGACTAAACCAGGTCTAAACCAGGAGGACTAAACCAGGTCTAAACCAGGAAACTAAACCAGGTCTAAACCAGGTAAACCAACCAGGACTAAACCAGGTCTAAACCAGGACTAAAACCAGGTCTAAACCAGGAAACTAGGACTAAACCAGGACTAAACCAGGACTAAACCAGGTCTAAACCAGGACTAAACCAGGACTAAACCAGGACTAAACCAGGACTAAACCAGGTAAACCAGGTCTAAACCAGAAACCAGGTAAACCAGGTCTAAACCAGGACTAAACCAGGACTAAACCAGGACTAAACCAGTAAACCAGGTCTAAACCAGGTCTAACTAAACCAGGTCTAAACCAGGACTAAACCACCAGGTCTAAACCAGGACTAAACCAGGACTAAACCAGGTCTAAACCAGAACTAAACCAGGTCTAAACCAGGACTAAAACCAGGACTAAACCAGGTCTTTAAACCAGGACTAAACCAGGACTAAACCAGGTCTAAACCAGGACTAAACTAAACCAGGTCTAAACCAGGTCTAAACCAGTAAACCAGGTCTAAAACAGGACTAAACCAGGACTAAACCAGGTCTAAACCAGAACTAAACCAGGTCTAAACCAGGTCTAAACCAGGACTAAACCAGGACTAAACCAGGACTAAACCAGGTCTAAAGGTCAGTACCTTGCAGTAGCAGTAGGACAGTGGGAGGATGCAAAGGAGCAACAGAAGAATCACCACGACTCTGATGATCAGGTCAGAGTCTGACTCTGCAACACAAAAGAACCCAGATCAGACCAGGACCAGGACCAGGACCAGAACTGAGACCAGAACTGAGACCAGAACTGAGACCAGAACTGAGACCTGAGTCTGTATCTGGACATACCTTCCACAGAGAGCTGGAGTGTGTGGCTCTGAGAGGAGAAGTTGTGGTTGAACACCTGCAGGAGGTAAACACAGGTGTAGTTTCCTTTGTGGGCGTGGTCAGCGTCAGAGAACAGGAAGTGGGCGGAGTGATTGACGGCAGGCAGGGTGCGGTTCTGAGCGGGGGGCGCGGCGGGAGAGAGGAGCCGGAAGGAGCCTCCCGAGTACTGTGGCTCCACGGAGCATTTGACCCTGAACTTTGAGCCCAGCTGCACCCGCACCCCCTGAGGCTGGAGCTCGGACGCCCCGTCACTCACAGACACGGAGATGATTGGACGATTCAGGACGAAGCCTGTGGAGAGACATGATTGGACAGATCAGTCTGTGTGTGTGTGTGTATCTGTGTGTGTGTGTGTGTGTGTGTGTATGTGTGTGTGTGTATGTGTGTGTTTGTGTGTGTGTGTTGTTAGTTGAATGTGTGTAAGTGTTTTTTGTTCTCCATGTTTATCATTTGTCATATCTGTGCCATAGTTGCCATAGTGACCAGTGTAAATGTCCCGTCTCCTCTGATGGTGCATGTGCACAGGGACATGAGTATCCTGGTTTCTCTGAGCTCATGGAAACACTCTGTCCAGAACAGTGTCATAACTGGGATCCTGCTGCACATGTAAACGCACTGACACTTCCACTTTACAAATGAAACACATTTAAGACAAAAGCAGCTTTATTTTCTCATCTATGACGTCATCAGAGACACAACTTTGTCTAAACGGATCTTTTATGTAGAATCCATTTACAACAAGAATCAAACACACACACTCCCAGCATCCTCCATCACAAGCACACAGGTTTACTCCATCTCCAGAGAATCAGCAAAGAGAACATGAGACACTCTGTCACTGTCACTGCTGCACACAATCTACAAGATTCAACTATTAAAGCAGAGCTCTGCTGCAAAAGGGACTTTTCACACATTTAACCATGTCACACACGTTTCCTTTCTTCTATTTGGACACATTCAACCTGAACATTTACAAAAACACTTTTACCTGAACACTTCACCTCCAGACCCAAGGAAGAGGAAGTGGAGGATGAACCAGAGACACATTCTCTCACTGAAGACTCCTTCACAGAGTGAGGTGAGATTAACCACACAGGACTATGTGGAAAACCATCTCTCTGTTCTCCATAAACAGCAGAGCCACAGTCCAGGTCTCTGCACACAAAAGCTGTTTGCTCCTGATCCCAACGTCCATAGAGATCCACTCGTCTCCACTCTCCTCTGTGTTTCAGCTCCACAGTCCCATCACAGCGACTGGCTCCTCCCACCAACCTGAGCGGCTCTGAACAGACAAGAGACAGAGTGAAGCCCCGCCCCTTTACCTGAGCACTGAAGCCCCGCCCCTTTACCTGAGCAGGTGAGGTGGACAGTGGTTCCAGAGGAGCAGGAGCTTGAGTTGGAGCGGGGACAGTCCATCAGAGCAGACTCATGGCCGTCACAGTGGAACGTCTGCCCCAGAGGAGAGAGCGCCCCCTGGAGGAGAGAAGGAGCCCCACAGCCCAGCTCCCTGCACAGCACCTCTGCCCCCCGCTGGTCCAAGTCCCCGTCACAGACCCCGGTCCAGGACCCGTCCCAGATCTGCACTGATCCTGAACACAGACCGGACCCCGAGACCAACCGCACCGACTCTGTGGACACACATGTGACATCATCACTCTGAACCAATAGACGCCACACATGTGTGACATCATCACTCTGAACCAATAGGACGCACACATGTGTGACATCATCATTCTGAACCAATAGGACGCACACATGTGTGACATCATCACTCTGAACCAATAAGATGCACACATGTGTGACATCTCATCACTCTGAACCAATAGATGCACATGTGTGACATCATCACTCTGAACCAATAGGACGCACACATGTGTGACATCATCACTCTGAACCAATAGGACGCACACATGTGTGACATCATCACTCTGAACCAATAAGATGCACACATGTGTGACATCATCACTCTGAACCAATAGGACGCACACATGTGTGACATCATCACTCTGAACCAATAGGACACTTGCTGTGTTCATGTGACTTGATTATGTTTTTGTTACAAACACATAAGAATCATCTTCACTATTGAAAAGATTTAAGTTTTAATGATTTATTTGGTTTATAAACCAAAGGGGAAGAATGTAAAAAATAATAATTCTGAAGTGAATCTTAAGCTCTGATAATAAAAGATGAAAGACGAGCAAATTAAACACCTGAGCTAAACTCCATTATACGACTGGTGACTCGACTGTTTACAGTCTTACTGCAAATAATCTGTGGACACAATCTACACATCAGGACTAGAGTTACTCTCCACATCAGGACTAGAGTTACTCTCCACATCAGGACTTGAGTTTGTTTGTTTATTTCTTTAGTTGTAAAAAGGTTCAGTTAAACTTTGCAGTGCAATTTGACACCGTCTGATTTAAACTTATAATGTACACAGACACGCCCCCTCACACAGACACGCCCCCTCACACAGACACACCCCGTCACACAGACACACCCCCTCACACAGACACACCCCCTCACACAGACACGCCCCCTCACACAGACACACCCCTCACACAGACACGCCCCCTCACACAGACACACCCTCTCACACAGTGTGTATCTGTGTGTGTGTGTATCTGTGTGTGTGTGTGTGTGTGTGTGTGTGTGTATGTGTGTGTTTGTGTGTGTGTGTTGTTAGTTGAATGTGTGTAAGTGTTTTTTGTTGTTATAAATCAGTTAAAAAGTCTTAAATGATCAAAGATGCTCCATGTTTATCTTTTGTCATATCTGTGCCATAGTTGCCATAGCGACCAGTGTAAATGTCCCGTCTCCTCTGATGGTGCATGTGCACAGGGACATGAGTATCCTGGTTTCTCTGAGCTCATGGAAACACTCTGTCCAGAACAGTGTCATAACTGGGATCCTGCTGCACATGTAAACGCACTGACACTTCCACTTTACAAATGAAACACATTTAAGACAAAAGCAGCTTTATTTTCTCATCTATGACGTCATCAGAGACACAACTTTGTCTAAACGGATCTTTTATGTAGAATCCATTTACAACAAGAATCAAACACACACACTCCCAGCATCCTCCATCACAAGCACACAGGTTTACTCCATCTCCAGAGAATCAGCAAAGAGAACATGAGACACTCTGTCACTGTCACTGCTGCACACAATCTACAAGATTCAACTATTAAAGCAGAGCTCTGCTGCAAAAGGGACTTTTCACACATTTAACCATGTCACACACGTTTCCTTTCTTCTATTTGGACACATTCAACCTGAATATTTACAAAAACACTTTTACCTGAACACTTCACCTCCAGACCCAAGGAAGAGAAAGTTAAGTAGGAACCAGAGGCACATTCTCTCACTGAAGACTCCTTCACACAGTGAGATGAGACCTCCCACACAGGACTATGTGGAAAACCATATTTCTTTTCTCCATAAACAGCAGAGCCACAGTCCAGGTCTCTGCACACACCAACTGCAGCCCCCTGGTCCCAGAGTCCATAGAGATCCACTCGTCTCCACTCTCCTCTGAGTTTCAGCTCCACAGTTCCAGCACAGCGACTGGCTCCTCCCACCAACCTGAGCGGCTCTGAACAGACAAGAGACAGAGTGAAGCCCCGCCCCTTTACCTGAGCACTGAAGCCCCGCCCCTTTACCTGAGCAGGTGAGGTGGACAGTGGTTCCAGAGGAGCAGGTGCTTGAGTTGGAGCGGGGACAGTCCATCAGAGCAGACTCATGGCCCTCACAGTGGAACGTCTGCCCCAGAGGAGAGAGCGCCCCCTGGAGGAGAGAAGGAGCCCCACAGCCCAGCTCCCTGCACAGCACCTCTGCCCCCCGCTGGTCCAAGTCCCCGTCACAGACCCCGGTCCAGGACCCGTCCCAGATCTGCACTGATCCTGAACACAGACCGGACCCCGAGACCAACCGCACCGAGTCTGTGGACACACATGTGACATCATCACTCTGAACCAATAGGACGCACACATGTGTGACATCATCACTCTGAACCAATAGGACGCACACATGTGTGACATCATCACTCTGAACCAATAGGACGCACACATGTGTGACATCATCACTCTGAACCAATAGGACGCACACATGTGTGACATCATCACTCTGAACATGACGATTTGCAAAAATTCCGGAAGTGTGAGTCCGGACACCAGCCAATCAGTCATTTTGTGTTCCCAAGATCGAGGATTTAAAGCCGGAACAAAGAGAATGTTTGGTGAATTTTATCAAGGGAAATACGTTTTTGGATCAGTATGTATGAAATCAGCCGTTTTCAATGCATCTCCCCCATAAACCATCTCAGATTTGGCAGAAAATATTTCTAAATTCTAAAATCACCAAATGAAAAAATCTCAAATTTTCATTCAGTCTCTTGAGTCGTTCCTGAGTTATGGCCCAGTGAAATTTTGGGGTCATGTTCACTTTTTCTGAAGCCTTAATTTATAAACATGTTTGAGAGACCAGAACTTCATAGCTATAATACTACGATTTCTCAGCTAGGACGCTGAACATGTGTGTTATTAGATTCTTGGTCATAGATTCTGAATTCGTTGTATTAACATTGTGTCTTTATTAAGGGTTTGGCTGTGGGCCCCAAAATCTCACATTTGGTTGCCGCTCAATTTATTTTTTAAGTTTGTAAGGGCCAAGATCTATTTACTCCAAGCAGATATTTACAAACTAACTGAACCTGAATATTTGAGAGAATTGCCATTCCTGACACAAATCTCACACTTTTCTGAGTTTTCATGTGGACGGTGGAGAGTCTCAGTCCAGGTTTGATCTTTTTGGCCTCTTCTTTGACCCCTCGGTTCCTCGGTCTCTAACTGTGACACAGTTAGATGTTGATCAGTTTTTTACCAGAGAAACTTTGTCATATTCTGATGAGTTTAAAGTAATAAAAACATCGACTATTAACTTCCTTCATTTCAAATGGAATTTTTGAAAATGAGTCTCGTGGGTCATTTTTGGTGGAGTTTAGGGACTTTTCCACCTGCAGAAAGATTCAATTACCTTTAATAGACTGAAACACTATTTGTTTGTTCCAAGGGAAACAGTTGGAGATTATTTGTGGTACACTGTTTGGAAAAGTGTCATTAATCCTTTGAGAAAGTTCAACTATTATCTTTGTACAAAATTATGAAAAAGGTTTGTTTGCATTATTTATTCTATTTCTATTTGAGGAAGATAATTTGTTTTCTCACATAGAAACAGTTTTTTCATGATGAATAAGTAAAGCAACAAAAGTTAAGAAAGTTTTCATGGAAACTGATCAAAGGCAAATTAAAATTGAAATACTCACTGTGTTAAATCACAAAATCTCTGATTCTATAACCAGGACTTTTACTTCCACCATGTGTATTATTTTTGTACAAAAATATTACAAGAAGGCAGTAACGATAACAAGGAAAAATTTTATACTGACACAAAAGTTATCAAAATTCAATAATATGGTCAGTTATTTGTTCAACTTTTAGAAATTACATTTTAAAAATTCAGTGTGAAAAACAACCTCAAGGAGGAGAAGATTTGGGTCTGCCGCTTCTATGAGCTCTGTCAATCACCACCCAGGACCTCGCAGAGAAACGCTGGGAGGAAGGTGAGCGCATTGCCGCTGTCCGCGCCCTCGCTCATCCCAATGAATCTCAGGTTGCTCCTCCAGCTCCTGTTTTCAAGATCGATGCATTTTTCCTGGAGACTTTTGCATTTCTTGGTCAAGAGCTCCTGATTTTTCTCCAGTGCTGTAACTCTGTCCAGCATGTCGCTCAGCGTTTGGCCCATTTCTTCAGCCTGTTGGTCTGCCTCTGATTGTGTAGCGTGCAGTCGGGTTAGATCCTCGGTTAGCTCATCGCGCAGGGTCTTAATGTCCGCTTTGGTATCTTTATGCAAAGTTGTGATGTCCCGCATAAACTCCTAGATTTGCGATTCCATATCGGTCTTTATTTGGTCCCGCTGTGCTTGGAGTTCACGGCGAAGGGCTGGCAGTGTGAGCGTAGTAGTTTCAGTGGTAGCCTCTGGGTCCGAGCACTGGTTTGTGGTCTCTGCGCCGTCCGCCATTTTAGCTTTGTTGACAGTGTAAGATGCTATCGATATTTGGGTCTGGGTGTGCTGCCTCCCTCCTTTACGAGCTTCGTCTCATATCACTTTGAGCTCTCAGTATCTATATACTCATCTGCTTTTCTCTGCTGGGTCTATTAGTTGTCAAATGCCAAGTTTATTAGTGCTTGATATGGAGCACCGCAAAAACACTGCTGACTCCATCGCCAAGTCTCACCAGACTCCCCTGTTTTGGCTGTTTGAAGCACATTTGATGCAACTATTGATAACTCCTTTCTGCATGTAAATGGAAACCTTTTTTATAGGCATGACAGGAATCTAAATGTGTGTAGTGTTGTTTTGTGTTCAGGATCACACTCCGGTAAAGACCAGGTCCGATCTTGGACTCAGCTAAAGACGAGGTCCGATCTTGAACTCCGGTAAAGACCAGGCCTGATCTCGGTGTGTTGATGTTGAAGTTCTGTGGTGGGAAATGCAGTTTCCTCATGTCAAGTCTGTTCTTATCGAAGCTGCTGTCGGCCTCCAAAGGCTCCAACAGTTTCATAGATTGTATCTGTGATGTGTTAGATCAGGGGTCTTCAACCTGTACCTTGGGAGGTACCAGTAGCTCTCCACCCCCGTCCAAGTAGCTCACCAAGGGATTTCTGAATTGTATATATTGTGCTGAATAACTAAAATCAGATTTTTTACCACTGTAGTTCTGCACTAATGACTGGACAATGGTTTATGTTTTATAAGCTTCTAACTGTACCTCATCTAAGGCTCACCATGACTCTTATACTTTCTCAATTTCTTGCGCCCACTAAAATTAGTAGCTCTTTTTTTGGTATTTTTGTTTCGTAAAGGTAGCTCAGCAAAGGAAAAAGGTTGGAGACCCCTGTGTTAAATAAAGTATGTGACTTAAATAAAATTTAATAGAGAATATTTACATCACCTAAAAATAGAGATTTATTTTTAGGTGATGTAAATATTGATTGGAGTTTAAATAATTTCTCTTTGAAAAATAAGATTTAATTTATTACAGACACTTGTAAATTGTCACAAGTTGTAACAAAACAAACTGAAGTCTTTTACAGACGGGACAAAAACTGCCACGTGTGTTGATTTAATGTTTACACATTTATCAGATTTATGTTCAGTTTGTGATTTCACTTTGTGTTGGTTTTAGTGATCCTCATTTAATTGCAATGAACTGTGTGACGGGGTTCTATTCTCGTGTAATGACGATGGCATAGTCAGAAGGATGTTTTGATTGTTTAATGAGTGTCAACGTTCCCAAATAATCAAGTTTGAAGAGTGCTATATACAAAAAAAAAGGTGAAACAACAAAGGAACGGTATTTACAATATCTACATACACCAGCAAAAATGTGCTTAAATCTGTAGCAGGTTACGCAGGTTCAGGTCTAAACTGACTGAGGGAGGGAGAGTGGCCCTCTTTTATACCCCATGACTCCTCCCCCAAGCCAATTAACTCCAAAATGTGGGTTTTCACCCTTAAAACACAAGTTCATGATTACAATGAAAAAAGGAAAAATACAGAAAAATGTTCTGAATGATACGGCCATATCTTTGCGCCTGTAGCAGAATCAGAAAATGAAAAATTAATGTTTTATTATTAGCCGTGGTTTTTGGTGATGACGTCACAATGACGTCAGAGCCAATGTCCTGCGCACAAAAACAGAAATAGGAACTGATGGACAGGTGCTCTGTTTGCCAGTGGGGCGTGAGGACGGGAGATGGATACTGGGGAAAGGTAGATGAAAGACAAAGTTATGGATGTGAATTATTTGGCAGCGAACTTGTGTGCACCAAAGGCTACTGTGGTGGTGAGCGGACGGAAAATAATGACCAAACTAATAGATTAAAGAAACGGGCTTATTATGGAAATACATTTTTGCATGTAAAATCTGACAGCAGTAAAATATGGAACAGACTAAATGAATTAATGAGACGGAAGAATAAATCTGCTCCAACATTTTGGTAGAGGACTCTTTCTTTTCTGACCAAACCAATTGATACTACTAATAATTTAAGTGATTATTTCAAGAATAAAATTCAAAATTTATGCAAAAACTAGGCTTAAAGATCTGCTATCATGTTCAGTAATAAAAAAAAAAATTATGCTAATTAAGTCATGTAAATTTAAATTTGATAAAGTAAGTACTCCCCCTCCTTGAACCGTCGCCCCTCCTTGAACGGTCACCTTATCGTGGTGGAGGGGTTTGAGTGCCCGAATGATCCCGGGAGCTATGTTGTCGGGGGCTTCATGCCCCTGGTAGGGTCACCCAAGGCAAACAGGTCCTGGGGGATGGTTCAGACGAAGAACGGTTCAGAAGCCCCACATGATGAGTTCCAAACAGAGGCCAGTTACGTCGCCCGGAATGGTGTCACCGGAGCCTCACCCTGGAGCCAGGCCTGGGGTGGGTGCTCGAAGGCGAGCATCTGGTGGCCAGGCCTTCCCCCACGGGGCCCGGCCGGGCACAGCCCGAACGAGCGACGTGGTGCCGCCCCTTCCGTGGGCCTACCACCTGCGGAAGGAGCCATATGGGGCCGATGCAGAGAGATCTGGGCGGCAGTCGACGGCGGGGCCCTCGATGATCAGATCTCCGGACATGGAGACTAGCTCTGGGGACATGGAAGGTCACCTCGCTGGGGGGGAAGGAGCCTGAGCTTGTGCGGGAGGTTGAGCGTTACCGACTAGATATAGTCGCCCTCACCTCCACGCATAGTTTGGGCTCTGGAACCCAACTCCTTGAGAGGGGCTGGACTCTCCATTTCTCTGGCGTTGGCCGCGGGGAGCGGCGGCGGGCTGGTGTGGGCTCATTGCCCCACAGCTCAGTCGCTGTGTGTTGGAGTTCACC